GTCCTGTTGATTGACTCCTTGCTGCTCACAGCAAAAAAGCAATTAATATTTCTAACTGGAGAAAGGAACAGCCTCATGCAAAAGCAAGTTAACTTCACTGTGACGAACTGAGGTTGAAGACAGGGAAGTCAGTTCACCCCTTCTCACCTAGTCATGACAACATCTTGGAAGCATTAGTTCTCAGCATGACATGTTCTATTGTGTCCAAACTCCAAAATGCCTTTGAATAAATTTGTTCAAACCAATAGGCAAAGCAATTGCAAATTTGGCTATTCAAATTTTTAATCTTACTTCACTGTCAGCAGAGCCAAGTTATATCATATCTAAAACATAAGATCAGTTTGATGATAATATTTTTGTTCATTTGAAAAGGCGGTTTTATTCCAGCAATTGAAATCAGGCCACTTGTTAAAATGGAGCCCTGACAAGATCATCTTACTATTTGGGATACTGGTTCACCAGATTACTTGCAGCCAAGTAAACGAAATCGCTTTTCTCAGAACGAAAGTAATTTCTCCAGGTCTTATTGATGAGCTAGTTTGGCCAGTTAATCATTATCACCAAAAAGAACCATGTTATTCTAGGGTGATCAGATGTAAACAAAAAAGTGATTAACTGGGGCAGACTTTGTTCTATCATTAGGTTACTGCAGTCTGTGGGGAAGTTCATTTACCATTCCTTGCACCAATTACCCTCCCAGAACTCACTAACTGACTAGTCAAGTGATGATTTGAGTTTAGTTAAGTGCCACATAGGTAAGGAGCACTTGTGTTATAATGACAATTTTTCCTTAAAGTTTTATAAGCCAGTGCTCTTTGGAATTAGTCTTAAGGCAGTAAAACATAAAAAGGAGTCTAAATGATGCAAACAAAAGAAGTGAAACTTGGGAAGTTTAATGATTCATAATATTCATTACAATAGTGGCTATGATTCAAGATACCGCACTAGCTGTCAAGCATTTTGGATTACCTTTGTTGTGAAGGGGTGCTATACAATTTAAAATTTTGACTTTTGGAGGCCCGAGACTCATCAGGACGTTTAAAAACACTTCTATGCATTTGTTGTTGTTTCTCAACGTATTTTTTTAACAGTTTCTCAACTATGGATTCAAGGAACTTTTTAAAATTCATTCATGGGATGTGGCAGGTCACTGGTTGACCTGCATTGATTGTGTCATTAGTTACCCTTGAGGAGGTAGTGGTGAGCTGCCTTCTTGAACTGCTGCAGTCCACGTGCAGTACGTTAACCCATGATGCCATGAGGGAGGGAATTCCAGGATTTTGACCCAGTGACAGTGAAGGAACGGTGATATATTTCCAAGACAGGATGGTGAGTGGCTTGGAGGGGAACTTGCGGGTGGTGGTGTTCCCATGTATCAGCTGCTGTTGATCTTCTAGATGGAAATGGTCATGAGTTTGGAAGGTACTGTCTGAAGATCTTGTGAATTTCTACTACACACCTTGTAGATGGTACAAGATGGTACACAGTGCTGTGACTGTGCTGTTGATGGAAGGAGTGGATGTGATGCCAGTCGAGTGGGCTGCTTTGTCCTGGATGGTGTCGAGCTTTGGGTGTTGCTGGAGCTGCACCAATTCAGGCAAATGGCACGAAACAGTTAATAAAGCTATTTAATCAGGCAATTGGGCCATTTTTGCAGAGTTTGTTTCAGATATTGATCAATTAGAAAGAAGCAGCAATTATTCCAAAATCAAGTCCCGATCAAACTGTGAAATCCATGAAAAGACAATGGAAGATGGCGTCATGGGATGGGTTGTCATTGCTAAGCTTCTTATGGTTATGTATAAAAATACACAGTCCAATGTGAAACCAGTTAGAAGTTTCTTTTAGATTTTCCTCCCACTATTCCATTGTCAGAGTGCCTATACCCTAACATCAAACAAATATCTGCAGGAAGAGCAAAGTTCTATGCACCCACAGTCAAGATGGCAGTTTTATCATATTACAAAACTGAGATTTCAGTGGCTGTGTGCAGTGCTACTTCTCAGACAGAATGCGCAGGCCCAAGTCCCACCTACTCCAGAGGTGGGTCATTACATGACTGCACAGGTAGATTAACAAATACCTAAAACTCAGATCCTGCTGGACCCTGGCTTTAAGTGCTCTAACTTTAGTATATTACTCACAGCCACGAGATAAAATACAGATGTCATCTTACTCAAACTAAATTATATACAATCATAGGGTTTAAATACATGGAAATTAGAAAACATAGAACATTACAGTGCAGTACAGGCCCTTCGGCCCTCGATGTTGCGCCGACCTGTGCAACCAATCTGAAGCCCATCTAACCTACACTATTCCATTATCATCCATATGTTTATCCAATGACCATTTAAATGCCCTTAAAGTTGGCGAGTCTACTACTGTTGCAGGCAGGGCATTCCACGCCCTTACTACTCTCTGAGTAAAGAGCCTACCTCTGAAGTCTGTCCTATATCTATCACCCCTCAATTTAAAGCTATGTCCCCTCGTGCTAGCCATCACCATCCGAGGAAAAAGGCTCCCACTGTCCACCCTATCTAATCCTCTGATCATCTTGTACGTCTCTATTAAGTCACCTCTTAACCTTCTCTCGAAAGAAAACAGCCTCAAGTCCCTCAGCCTTTCCTCATAAGACCTTCCCTCCATACCAGGCAACATCCTGGTAAATCTCCTCTGCTCCCTTTCCAATGCTTCCACATCCTTCCTATAATGCGGTGACCAGAACCGTACGCAATATTCCAAATGCGGCCGCACCAGAGTTTTGTACAGCTGCAACAGGACCTCATGGCTTCGAAACTCAATCCCTCTACCAATAAAACCTAACACACCACACGCCTTCTTAACAACCCTATCAACCTGGGTGGCAACTTTAAGGGATCTATGCACATGGACACCGGAGATCTCTCTGCTCATCCACACTACCAAGAATCTTACCATTAGCCCAGTACTCTGCATTCCTGTTACTCCTTCCAAAGTGAATCACCTCACACTTTTCCGCATTAAACTCCATTTGCCACCTCTCAGCCCAGCTCTGCAGCTTATCTACGTCCCTCTGTAACCTGCAACATCCTTCCGCACTATCCACAACTCCACCGACTTTGGTGTCATCCGCAAATTTACTAACCCATCCTTCTACGCCCTCATCCAGGTCATTTATAAAAATGACAAACAGCAGTGGCCCCAATACAGATCCTTGAGGTACACCACTAGTAACTGAACTCCAGGATGAACATTTCCCATCAACCACCACCCTCTGTCTTCTTACAGCTAGCCAATTTCTGATCCAAACTGCTAAATCACCCTCACTCCCATGCCACCGTATTTTCTGCAATAGCCTACCATGGGGAACCTTATCAAACGCTTTACTGAAATCCATATACACCACATCAACCGCTTTACCCTCATCCACCTGTTTGGTCACCTTCTCAAAGAACTCAATAAGGTTTGTGAGGCACGACCTATCCTTCACAAAACCGTGTTGACTATCCCTAATCAAATTATTCCTTTCTAGATGATTATAAATCCTATCTCTTATAATCCTTTCCAACACTTTACCCACAACCGAAGTAAGGCTCACTGGTCTATAATTACCAGGGTTGTCTCTACTCCCCTTCTTGAGCAAGGGGACAACATTTGCTATCCTCCAGTCTTCTGGCACTATTCCTGTAGACAATGACGACATAAAGATCAAAGCCAAAGGCTCTGCAATCTCCTCTCTAGCTTCCCAGAGAATCTTAGGATAAATCCCATCCGGCCCAGGGGACTTATCTATTTTCACACCTTCCAGAATTGCTAACACCTCCTCCTTATGAACCTCCATCCCGTCTAGTCTAATAGACTGTATCTCAGTATTCTCCTCGACAACATCGTCTTTTTCCTGTGTGAATACTGACGAAAAATATTCATTTAGCGCCTCTCCTATCTCTTCGGACTCCACGCACAACTTCCCACTACTGTCCTTGACTGGCCCTAATCATTCTTTTATTCCTGACATAGCTATAGAAAGCTTTAGGGTTTTCCTTGATCCTACCTGCTAAAGACTTCTCATGTCGCCTCCTAGCTCTTCTTAGCTCTCTCTTTAGGTCCTTCCTGGCTAACTTGTAACTCTCAAGCGCCCCAACTGAGCCTTCACGCCTCATCTCTACATAAGCCTCCTTCTCCCTCTTGACAAGAGATTCAACTTCTTTAGTAAACCACGGTTCCCTTGCTCTATCACTTCCTCCCTGCCTGAAAGGTACATACTTCTCAAGGACACGCAGTAGCTGTTCCTTGAACAAACTCCACATTTCAATTGTGCCCAGCCCCTGCAGTTTCCTTCTCCATCCAATGCATCCTAAATCTTGCCTAATCGCCTCATAATTGCCTTTCCCCCGGCTATAACTCTTGCCCTGCAGTATGTAACTATCCCTTTCCATCGCTAAAGTAAACATAACCGAATTATGGTCACTATCACCAAAGTGCTCACCTACTTCCAAATCTAACCTGGCCTGGTTCATTACCCAGTACCAAATCTAATGTGGCCTCGCCTCTTGTTGGCCTATCTACATACTGTGTCAGGAAAGCCTCCTGCACACATTGGACAGAAACAAGTCTGATCCAAGGTTGAAATATATACATTAAAAATGTATCCATATTATATACACAGACCTAAGCAACACTGTTGGATTGCATTGTGCAGATACACAGCTGCACAGAGGGGTCTGGTTGTTATGCATGGTACACAGTACCAGTATTGTGTTTCATATCTACATTAAAACTAGCAACATTTCATACATTTTATTTAAAAAATAAAATGTTGATGCTATAATATAACCAATGTGCAATCCAGGTGTCAGTGTGGGTGTGAGCTTTCTGAACACTGGAAACACAAACAGGCAGGCTGTCCTTAAGTAAGGGGGGGGGGGGGGGGGGGGGGGAGAGGGGGAGGGGGTGGGGGGGGGGGAGGTGGGGGGAGAGGGCGAAGTGTGTAATGGAATCCTGCTCCTTTCCGTACTCACCATGGCGTCCAGGTTCCTGAAGTCACACAGCCTCCTCTGGACCCGGGGTTGCCCAGCCTCCTGGTCAGGGGGCTCCTGCAGGGCGTCACGGATCTCCTGGTCGATCTCCTCCTCCATCTGGATCAGGACCGGGGCCAACATACCGAACTTGGAGCCGCGGCGGGCCACCTCGAGCAGGCACAGCACGAAGTTCTTCTCGTTTTTACGGAGGACCAGGTCGTCGGTCTCGAACATGAGCGCGTCCCGGACACGGAGTTCCCGGCGGCACCAGGCGATAAAGTTGGAGAGGTTGTCGCGGGCGATGAAGGAGCCAGGGCTGACGTTCCTGGAGCTGAAGGTGACCTCAGCCCGGGGGATAGTGACTGCAGCCCCGGGCCAGCTGCTCTCAAACTCCTGGGCAGCCTGGTTCACGTTATTGGCGTGTTGGCACAGGACACAGCCCGTCTCCAGCGCTTCCATGAACATGTCGACGTGGATATCCAAATGGTACAGGGCGTTCAGCCACTCGGCCAAATCCTCCTTCATGGCGTACAGATACTCCTCACTGGTCCTGAAGGGCCGGATACTTTTACTGGCTGCGGACTGGATGTGATCCGCCATCTCTCTGTCTGCCTGTGTCCGCAGTGCACTGGTACACCTCCCTCCTCGTCTTAAATACTTGTCAGGTTGAGCTCTGCTCAGAATCCAGCTCCATCGCGCACACCCCTTCTCCTTCCCCTCCCTGTCTGACTCCCACTCTAACCTACCTCCACCACCCAACCTGGCGAAGCGAAAAGCAAACTCCTCCCCGTCTCATCAAATCCGCACAGAAGCCCAGTGCATCCAATCCCTGTTTTCCCTCCTCCCGCTCCTCCCTGCTGAGTTTTCACATCCGCCCCTCTGACTCCAAGCCTGTGCCTATCTACTTGGAATATACAGGCTTCCGGCGGACCAAGTCCTCCCGATGAAACCTGCTTCTGGTGGGTTAACTTCCCAACAGGAGGTTAATTCTGTACAAACGGGTCTCTTCTCCTACCCCACCCAGCCAAATGAAAACAAGGCTTTATCATGTCTGCCTGGAAAAGTATTGCAACAGCCTTCGGCATTTGGTAAAATTAACTCAATCCACTTGGATTTTGTTTTTTTTCGGTTTAAGGAGTGAGGTTGGATACACGTACAATATCTTGGCTCTGTGTCCTGCCATGATGTAATTCGCTGACCCTGTGTGGGTGACAGACTATTTGCAAAGAAAGTCCCACTGGCTTGTCAGGAACAGTAACACGGCTGCAGCACCAGCCAACATTTTTAACACGGGTGTCTTTGCGCACCGTCGTAAATTGCGATTCAAGGAACATATATTTTATAAATGAGCTGGAGGCGGGGAACGTTGTGGAAACGTCGGGGCAGGTCAGCCAGGCTTGAAAATAAAAATCTAGGTGGAGCTTTTCAAATGCAAATAGGTCCGTTGGGAATTTCCAGCAGTTTTCTGTTTTAATATATCCTTAAAACTAAATAACTCTATGAGGCTAGCTAACGAAGTTACCTAGTGCAAGTTCCTGTTTCTTTGCCAATGATTGACAAATTTGTTCTGGTTTTGGAGTTTAAAAGAAGAAGAGACGACTCCTATTGAAATATATAAAATCCCCTGAGTTGTCTTGACAACGTGCATTTGACAAGCATGTTTCCTCTTGTGCGAGATTCTAGAACTAGGGGTCACTATTTAAAAGTCAGAGGTTACTCCTTTAAAACGGGGATGCGGCGAAACTTTTTTTTCCATTTAGAGGATCCTAAGTCATTCAAACTCTTCCTGATGACGTGGTGGAAGCAGAGAGTTTGAACATTTTTGAAATAGAAATATAGATTATTGTTAAACAAGGGGGTGAAAGATTATCAGAGATAGGTGGGAATGCAGATTTGAGGTTACAGTCATATGAACATATTGAATGGTAGAGCTGGGTCAAGGGGCTGAATAGTCTACACCTTGTTAGTGTATGCTAACCAATATTTATCCTCCAATCAATATCACACACATTATCTGGTCTTAATTACAGTGTGTGTGGGAGCTTGCTGTGTAAAAACTGGCTGGCATGCCCCCAACATTATATCAGTGACTGCACCTAGTTGATTGTCTCTAAAGCTGTCCGGTTTGTCTTGTGGTGACAGAAAGGCTACAGAAATTCAAATCTTCCTTTACTTTCCTCCAATGCCCAAGGGTGCTTTGATATCGAGGCACAGGCTTCAAATGGACAAACAAGTCCCGTATTCTGAAAGAAAGCATGTCTTCTGAAGAAGAGATAATAGTGTGGAGCTGGAGGAACACAGCACGTCTACTTTCCTGCTCCTCTGATGCTGCCTGGCCTGCAGTGTTCCTCCAGCTTCACACTGTGTCATCTCTGACTCCAGTATCAGCAGTTCTTACTATCTCTGTCTTCTGAAGAAAACCGCACCAAAGCTTCAATGCATAGGATCAACTGTGGGCCCAAGAAATGCCGACTCTGTGGAAGGGAAAGAATAATGGAAGATGGAGACTAAAAGGTAAAATCACCGTACTCCTGCTCTCTCACTAGACAAAGAAATGAGCAGTGGTGGTTTAACCTGGTGGTCACCACACTCGGGTAAAGGGAGAGTTTGAGAAGGAGAGTCCTTCATGGTAACCTCAGATGGTGCAGGAATTGAACTCACATTGTTGGCATCAGTCTGCATCACAAATCAAGCCAACTGAGCTAACTACTATTCTTACTAAAGAAATAGCATGGAATGCAACTTCATCAGCAAGTTCTTCAATATGTTTCACCAAGGATATCCAGTCACTGGTGCATAACAAGCTCATTTCAATAATTTAATATTTTTTATCTTTGGTTCAGGGGTTGTTGAGTGGGGACTGGTTGAGAAACATAGTTGGATGACATTTTTGAATGAATTAATTTGCAGTGCAGGTACAAATTGTTAATTCTGAAGCAATCTGAACTGCAATTGCTGATGAAATAATTGATCAAGGGAGCAGATTACTGGACTACAACAGAATAGAAAGTTAGCAAGATGTCAAATATGATGGAGATGAGATAGCTACACTGGAATGATGACTTGGACTGATCCTGTAGAGTGCCTGTCAAAGCTACTGCTGCAAAGAATCTCTTTCAAGACAGAAGACAGCTGCGGTGGAAGATAGGGTCAGTTTGACAGTATCTTTCAACTTAATTGCAGGTCACAGCAAATGGTACAAGCTGGTTAGACAGTAGTTGCCAGGTGTGTCTTAATGCAATGAAAATGAAAAACTACATTTTCCTCATCAATTTCTTAACAAACAGTTCAATACAACTGGGAAACTTACTATCAGGGCTTTGTGAGTCTAATTACCAGTGTGAGAGGGGACAGTAGATGTTGGTGATGCCTGCTGTACAGTAGCAATCACAGTACTGTGTACAAACCAATCAATGCATAGATAATGCTAAATGCTGACAAAGCAAATTGGTAATTTGATTAACTCAATCCATTTGTCCTTGTGTAAAAAGTGTTATCAGCAAACAATTGTGCCATCTAGTGTAGTTTTACTGTTCTGCAATTCCTTTTCTAAACAGAGCCACTTCACAACTTGAGATAACAAGGTGTAGAGCTGGATGAACACAGCAGGCCAAGCAGCATCATAGGAGCAGGAAGGCTGACGTTTCGGGCCTAGACCCTTCATCAGAAATGGGGGAGGGGAAGGGGGTTCTGAAATAAATAGAGAGCGGGGGAGGCGGATAGAAGATGGATAGAGGAGAAGGTAGGTGGAGAGGACACAGACAGGTCAAAGAGGCGGGGATGGAGCCAGTAAAGGTGAGTGAAGGTGGGGAGGTAGGGAGGAGATAGGTCAGTCCAGGGAGGATGGACAGGTCAAGGGGGCGGGATGAGGTTAGTAGGTAGGAAATGGGGGTGCGCCTTGAGGTGGGAGGGGATAGATGGGAGGAAGAACAGGTTAGGGAAGCGGGGACGAGCTGGACTGGTTTTGGGATGTGGTAGGGGGAGGGGAGATTTTGAAGCTTGTGAAGTCCACATTGATACCATTGGGCTGCAGGGTTCCCAAGCAGAATATGAGTTGCTATTCCTGCACCCTTCGGGTGGCATCATTGTGGCACTGCAGGAGGCCCAGGATGGACATGTCGTCTGAGGAATGGGAGGGGGAGTTGAAATGGTTCGCGACTGGGAGGTGCAGTTGTTTATTGCGAACTGGCGTAGGTGTTCTGCAAAGCGTCCCCAAGCCTCCACTTGTTTCCCCGATGTGGAGGAGGCCACAACGGGTACAGCGGATGCAGTATACCACATTAGCAGATGTGCAGGTGAACATCTGCTTGATGTGGAAAGTCTTCTTGGGGCCTGGGATGGGGGTGAGGGAGGTGGTGTGGGGGCAGGTGTAGCACTTCCTGCAGTTGCAGGGAAAAGTGCTGGGTGTGGTGGGGCTGGAGGGGAGTGTGGAGTGGACAAGGGAATCACAGAGAGAGTGGTCCCTCCGGAAAGCAGATAAGGGTGGGGAGGGAAAAATGTCTTTGGTGGTGGGGTCGGATTGCAGATGGCGGAAGTGTCGGAGGATGATGCGTTGGATCCAGAGGTTGGTGGGGTGGTACGTGAGGACGAAGGGAATTCTTTTTTGGTTGTTATAGCGGGGACAGGATGTGAGGGATGAGTTGCGGGAAATGCAGGAGACACGGTTGAGGGCGTTCTCGACCACTGGAGTGGGGGGGAAGCCTTGAAAAACGAGGACATCTGAGATGTACAGGAGTGGAATGCCTCATCCTGGGAGCAGATGCAGCAGAAGCGAAGGAATTGGGAATAGGGGATGGCATTTTTGCAGGAAGGTGTGTGGACGGAGGTGTATTCTAGGTAGCTGTGGGAGTCGGTGGGCTTGAAATGGATATCGGTTTCTAGGTGGTTGCCTGAGATGGAGACAGAGAGGTCCAGGAAGGTGAGAGAGGTGTTAGAGATGGTCCAGGTGAACTTACGGTTGGGGTGGAAGGTGTTGGTGAAGTGGATGAACTGTTCAAGCTCCTCGTGGGAGCATGAGACGGCGCCGATACAGTCATCAATGTAACGGAGGAAGAGGTGGGGTTTCGGGCCAGTGTAGGTACGGAAGAGGGATTGTTCCACGTAACCTACAAAGAGGCAGGCCTGCCTGTCCTCTTGCTAAGCTTATCTTCTACATTTAGCCAGGTAAGAGTCAGCAAAATAAAAGAGCAGGGATAACACAGTATGGAGCTGGAGGAACACAGCAGGCCAGGCAGCATCAGAGGAGTGGGAAAGTTGACGTTTCGGGTCCACACTGTGTTAATTCTGACTCCAGCATCGGCAGTTCTTACTATCTCTAAATAAAAGATCAGGATGCTTTCATTCTGATCTTTGATCGCTGCTACCACATCTTTAAATAAAAAAGTCTTTCAGAAATATAATGGGTATGGCCATGTAAATACGAATATTATAAATGAAATGTCATAATATTTTAAAGATACTTACTTTTGTGGTGTGATGTTTACTATTCCCATACCGAGAGGACAGAATACATCAAACTCTTCGTGTACTTCGTACATCATGTATCTATCTAACAATCTATCTATTCAAGGAATAGCGGCCTTTATTGAAAGGAGATTGGAATTTAAGATTAGTGAAGCGATGTGTTAATTATACAAAGCCTTTGTCAGACTCTATTTGGAGCACTGTGTACAGTTTTAATCTCAGGAACATATATTGGCCTTGTATTTCAGCCTATTCCAATGTCACAGCATCACAGATTGGTTGAAGTCTGGCACAAATGTTAATGTCATGGTCCGTATAG